ATCCTTGGCTACCAGGCATGCATGTGGTACACATGCATACATAAAGGCACATACATAAAATAAAAATAAATAAATGTTTAAAAAATAGTTCAAATATTTTCCCCCTTACAATTAAGCTGGCTTGACATAGGTTCTCTAGTTTGGCTAATTCCGACTCCCTACAGTGTTAGATTCTATAAAGCAGAATTCATGGTCATGTTCTCTGTGCCCTGACACCTGGTAGATGCTCAGTAGATAATTGGTTTTGTTATATTCAAAATGTGTTTATTGGGATGGTTTCTCACGCATCCTGATTCACGGTGCTTTTAATGCTGCTCCCTCCTGAACATCCTTCTGTAAGCCTTTCTTTTCCTCCTCTAGGCTGGCAGAAGACAGTGGAGCAGCCAACACACAAAGCGTACGGGTATTAAGAGCACTTGTGATGTGCTCGTAGAAGGAAGAGCACTGGGAGGTGAAAGAGTTTAAGTGAGGATGGGAAGCACAAAGGCGGGAGAGGGAAGGTCAACCCAAAGTATTAGGAAAATGCCATAAGGAAACCTACTTCGTAAGTTAATCAAAACAAATCAACACAAAAAAGCAAACAATAAAACCTACCATTTGCTCATGGCTCACAACCATGGTGGTTTTATAGCATCTATGCAGTAGTAAACAGGGCTTTGTACAATGTGCTTCTTGTGTTACCTCATCTGGAGAGGGATGAAGACCCTTTGTGAGAAGTGTTTTCTCTTAGGAAGGTCATCACCTCCAGAAAAGAATAAGTACTTTGTTGAAATAATAAACGAATGAGCAAAGGAACAAATTTACTTGCCTGTTTATTGTTTTTTGTTTTGTTTCTGAAACAAAGTCTTGCTATATATCCCTGGCTTGTCTGGAATTCACTATGTAGAACAGGCTGGCCTGGAAATTCCAGCCTGTCTCTTGCTTCTGCCTCCTGAGTGCTGAGCCTGCAGATGTGCACCATCATACCTGCTTAGGCCAAATACTTTGATTGTTTGTTTTTGAGGCAGGGTCTCACTATGTACCCCTGGCTGGCCTGGAACTTGCAGTATAAATCAGGCTGGCCTCAAATTCACAGAGTTCCACCTGCCTCAGCCTCCCTGAGTGCTGGGATTAAAGGTGTGCACGACCATACCCAGAAAGAAATACTTTTTATTCTACACACAAGTCCTCAGCCAAAGGCAGAAATTTTGATATAAGTTAATGATGTCAAATTTTGATCGATGTAGTTTATATTTTTGAGCTATTTGTTATTTTATCTATTCTCACTGCCGGTTGTCCCAGAGGATTGAGATGGGGAAAGAGTGTAGAAATGAAGGAAACGCTGCAGTAGTGAAGGTTTGGGGCTGGTGATGACTGACGTTAAGTTTTGGTGAAAATTTGTCTTATAATTTCTTTCAGAAGTTTTTTCATTTGGTTTCCAAAGTATCCCTGTGAGGCAGTGGCATTACCTCGTCCAGGTAGATAAACAGGTGTAAAGAGGCTGTTCTAATTATCACTGAAGGGTATAAAACAATCCTCATCTAACCCTGGTCTCACCATGCCAAAGTCCATGTTTATTCCATGGTTTCTGGCAGCCTCCATAACTGGCCACTTCCCTTTCTTGGCCTTCGTTCCCACATCTAGAAAGCACCTAGATGATTTCTTAGATGCCTCCAACTTTAAATTCTAAGATTTTATGAGCGGTTTTTTTCCCCTCCATTGTCTATTTTTAAAACCTACTATCACTTTAAAAGTGCAAAATTAATGAGTTTTTTAAAATTTTATTTTAGAATTTCACAGCTCTTTTCA